TGCCTGCTGGTTTCAGGGGGAGAAGAAACAAGTCAGCATGAGTAAGCATGAGGCAAGCAGACAGAGGGAATCACAAGAGGAAGTTGACATAGTCCTACTAAATACAAGGGAAGACAGTTGGAGTCAGGCGCTGCTGGGACTGCTCACCAAGATGACACAGGTGCCGCAGGGCGTCAGGGGGAGCTGCTACAAGCGATCAGGTGGTGCTGCTGGCACGGTGATGCTGCTACCACCAGTCAGGTGGTGCTGCTGGCACGGTGATGCTGCTGCCACCAGTCAGGTGGTGCTGCTGGCATGGTGATGCTGCTGCCACCAGTCAGGTGGTGCTGCTGGCACGGTGATGCTGCTGCCACCAGTCAGCAGGTGCTGCTGGCAGACGTTTGCAGAAGCAGCCGCCAGGAGCAGAAGCAGCCGCCAGGAGCAGAAGCAGCCGCCAGGAGCAGATGCAGCCGCCAGGAGTAGAAGCAGCCGCCAGGTGCTTGCGTACCAGTTGCAGCTGCCTCCGGGCGTCACCTAGTATAGGGGGAGCAGCACTCGGTCATGAAGCGCAGCACAAGGTCACGGGGAGCAGCACAGGGTCACGGAGAGCAGCACAGGGTCATGGGGAGCAGCACAGAGTCACGGGGAGCAGCACAGGGTCATGGGGAGCAGCACAGAGCAAAAGGGTAACATGGGTTTCACAGTCAGGTTCGACGAAGCATTCTCACCTTGGCAGGAAGGAGAAAGTCGTGCGCTGCCAGGAGTAGCAGCAGTGGGCCGCCAGGAGTAGCAGCCGTGCGCCACCAGCAAAAGCCGCCACATGCGATGTAATGCAGCGGCGCGCATACTGCTGCAGTCGTGCGCCAGCCGCTGCTGCCGATCGCCACGGGCGCCATGAACAGCAGTCGCGCAAGGAGCTGCAGCGCGCAGGTTGTTAAGCGAGGAGGTCACGGCAGCCGCGCGACAGAAGCAGCAGTCGCGGATCTAGCCGCGGCTGCAGGAAACGCGCATCCGGCGCTGCAGGTCGTCACGTGCACTGCTATCACCAGGCGCCAGCCATGACATAGGGAGCGCTAGTGATGCGCGCTGGCTGCAAGTGAAGGACATCACTCCATGGCGCAGCACAATGCACACCAGAAAATCGTCGCGACTAAAGCAGCAGTCGCGCGATAGCAAAGGAAATCGGGTTAGCACTAGAAGGCGGGAAAAAGCAGCGCGTCATAGGTCACATAACCAGAAAGAAGCCGTGCGCCATAAAGATATTCGCCAGCAGCAACTAACTTAAGACCAAGGGAGGCAATCCGCCCTGCTGCTGGGAATCGGGCTGACCTAAACTGTCATTTCACCGTGGAAAATTGCAGCTTGAGCAGCAGCCATCGATCTGGAGGTCCTGCATGAAACAAAAGACTGTGAATCGAAAATGACGAGACAAGCCAGACCCCTGTTGGAGAAGGGTGTGGGAGAAACGGTAACTGTGAAACGCGACAACCGAAAGGAGAGCTTGACAGGGGAGCGTACAGTGCACGGGAGTTCGAGAAGCGGGGACGAGAATCAGAAACCCTAGGTAGGAGGAACTTGTGTCGCGACAAATAAGCGAGGTCGCCAACTTGGGAGGAACTTGCACCTGCGCGTCGTCACAACTGCTACAGAACTTTTCGACCATCACGATTTCCCACCAATGCAGTTTCTGACCACGAAACGGTCAACGTAACTCAAACCGCCGCAATCCCCGCCGGAACTGAAGTTACTTCCGCAATCAACTCCACTCAATCAATCCTGCCGCAATCAACGCCAGCTACAGGCATCCTCCAAGACAAAACTCAGTAAAACCTACAGCAAGGGGGAGTGTCAAATACACCAACATAAGATATTACAAATGCTGTTAGATTTTACTGTAGTGTTCCTTTATAAGACTCCCAGCCCTCCAATAATTGTACAATTATTGGAGGGCCAGAATTATTGGAGTCTAGAATTATTGGAGGGTAAGAATTATTGGCGGGTAAAATTATTGGTGTAGAATTATTGGTGTGGACAGGGCCCTCCTGATAGGGTGACCTGCTGACATATATACCCTACTCTGTCATTCCATAACATCAATCAATTCCATTACTCTGATTCTGCTTTCAACCTTTTCAGTGCAAGTCTTCCAGCCTTACTCTTTCTACGATCTAACTTCCGCAACGCCGGCATCATGCCTTTCTAGCAGGGCGCAGGGTTGTGCACATGTGCCGGCCAAAGGTGCTAGGGTGTGGCCAGATTGCGGTCCTACTGCCACCTGCTTTTCCATACTGTCCTTCAGCTCGTCTGCCCCTCCTACGGCGGACTAGTTAAAAGACCCTTCACAGGTTCGCAATTGATTTTTTATGGGACGCGGACTGGAACTATTAAAGGTTATGGATGTTTCAGCGGCATATACACCTGCTTGGTGTGCCCTTCAGGTCATCGTTGCCACTACTGGCATGGCAACAGAGGCTTACTGCGCTGCTCTAGTATGGTGGATGCGCGAAGTAGTAATACATGTGCCTGAGCAGAAGCATGAGGGGTTTGAATATCAGATCTGCAACTAGGCTGATGTTCATGGTTTAACTTGCGTCTAACACCAACCACCTCACCGTAATTTCTGGCAAGTGCGTTACGGGCTGCAAGAAAAACATGAACAACTAGAGAGGCACTGGAGCAAAACCAAAGCAGTTCTAAAAGAGTTGAAATATTTCGAAATTCTATCACCCAATCTGGTACAACAATCTCAGTATGCTACGGTATTGACATGTTTAAGCTCCGTTTGCAGCCGAAAACCTGTCAGACGCGGGAATTCAGGGAGCTGCTCTCGATATCGCGTATATCCAGCAACTTGTCCACCCATTGCTGGCGCGTTTCGACAGCGACATTTCTGTTGTTCGCTAACTTCCTCGTCATCTCCTTTACTTTGCCAAAATAGTTCGTCTAGTCTGTTGCTACCCTTCGCCGCCTCCGGGTTTTCTTTTTGCCTAGTTTCGTCGCTCCGTGTGCGCTGCTAGCGAACCTCGCCACCGCGCCTGTAACAGGAAACACTCTTGAGATCCATCACAGTCTACCACGGCGCGTCAGCCACAAGTGACAAAAACTGTCTTGGCGGTAATCAACTTGGCAGTAATCAACTCCAAGGTTGCAAGAGAGTTTTGTCGCTCTTGACAGGAGCAGAGTCCAGAGAATGACTGACGGATTCTGTCTGCATTCCAACCCAAAGACCCCACGTCCGTCAATCTCTGACAGTTTCGTTTTCTCCTGGCAGCTTGTAAACGGGCTGGGCATTGTTCCGCGATCAGAGTCTTGGGATTCTCCAGTTCTACGCACAGCGCTCCGTAACGGCGTTACAACTCGCGAGATTCTCTCGACACGTCGGGGAAAAGAAGTAATCCTCCACGTTCAATCAGCTAGTGGCTTTCGTTATAGTCATCGGCTTGTGAGAGGTGCTGCGCGGAGTCTCGTGTGGGCGCGAATCGGCGCTTTTGAAGCAAAGTGATCGCACCAGGTGGGATTGAGAGGAAGGGAATGCAATGAGAGTTTCGAGACGCCTCAAAACTGTCACACGAGTTTCCAGACGTCTTATTGCTTGAGAGGATTGAAAACGCGATTCGGAGGTCCTGACGCAAGTGATATCGTATTCTCGGGTCCAACTATAAGCAGGTTCTGAAGCGTGTAGTCTGAAGGTTCGAGCCCTACTAAGCTCCAGATGGGACCGAGAGGGAGGGAATGCGATACAAACAGTGGTAAGGTACAAGGGATAAATTTGACATGTTACGATACATGTTTGACTCGAGTCGAACGAGCGTTTTGCCGTTTGAACCGATCCAAACCGGACGGAATGCAGGTAGCTTAGCCGTGGATAAGGTAACGTGCGAAGCATGATCAAGTCGGCGCTAAGACGTCAACGGAATGAGTACGGCGGAGGGAGAGGACGGGGATGACTTTTTAGTCGAATAAAAAATCACCTCGTGGATAAAGTTAACGTGCGACGTGTGGCGAAGTCTGTGCTTTCGACGTCAACGAACGAAATGAGTACGGCGGAGGAGAGGCACGCGAAGGTTTTTTTGGGGGCCTCAAGCATGTGAGGCGTGTTGGAGCTGCGATTACGAATCGAACGGAATGCGTAAGGCGGAGGAGGGAGGGGCCGTGTGGGTGCACGCCAATGGCTTGCGAAGAGCACAGGCGAGAGATGTAAAGCAGCACGATGTAATGCGGTTCTATGTGGCACTATGCGATGCAGAGTTGTGCAATGCATAACTCACGAACTCCTCTACCCCGAGGTGGCATGCACACGACCAACCAAGCTGCGCTATGCTCCTTGAAGGATATGCGGAGGAGACTTTTGAGTAGACTCAAAAGTCGCCTCAATTCATATCCCACCACCACCCCACCACCCCAGCATGGCAGTGCACGCTACCAAGCTGCCCTGTAACTCCTTAATGGATATGCAATGCAGGCCGCAAGAAGACGTGCATGAGGATGCGTGTTCTGTTCTGCACCACCAACTCGCCCAGGGAGTGGAGGGGGCGACGTGTGGAAAAGTTTTGAGACTTTTCAAAACGCAAGGAGACGTGCATGAGGATGAGTGTTCTGCACCAACTCGCCCAGGGAGTGGGCGGGGATATACGCGTGGAAAACACATCATTCCCAACTCTTGTCCTCCCTTCCACTCATCCTCCCTTTACCACCAGATGTGGCCGCTAGTGCCGGTGGCGGTGGTGGCAGTGGGGGGCACATGGGCGTACAGGGCTCAGACCAACTCGCCCCGGGAGTGGGAGGGGAGATGCATGGAAAACGCATCCTTTCCTACCACCCTTATGCCCATTCTCCCTTCCATGATCCATCCATCCCCTACCAGATGTGGCCGCTAGTGCCGGTGGCGGTGGTGACAGTGGGGGGCGCGTGGGCATACTGGGCTCAGACCGACTCGCCCAGGGAGTGGGAGGGGAGACGCGTGGGAAGCACATGCTTTTCTACCACTATTCTGCCCATATCTCTCTTTCGTTCCCTACCAGATGTGGCCGCTAGTGCCCGTGGCAGTGGTGGCAGTGGGAGGCGCATGGGCCTATTGGGCTCAGACCAGCTCTCCAAGGGAGTGGGAGGAGGGGCGGCGCAAGGGAATCGTGCCCTTCTTAAAGCCAAAGTCATATTATGTGGGTGGTGATTTGTGCATGGAGTGGTGGTGACGTGTGCGTGGATGGGTGGTGACGTCTGCATGCATGGGTGCTGACGTGTGCATGCATGGGTGCTGACGTCTGCATGCATGAGTGTTGAGGTGTGCATGCATGGGTGCTGACGTCTGCATGCATGGGTGTTGACGTGTGCATGGATGGGTGTTGACGTGTGCGTACATTGCTCGCCCCTCTAAAAGCTGTGCTTCTTGCTGCGTTCATGTTTGTGCGGAGCCGTTCGCAGGGCCATTGTGCTGTTCTTAAATCCTGTGGAACCGATTTCTGAGTCGACTCAGAAATTGCCTCGTCACACGTGGAATGGCAGGCAGGCAGGGCCATTGTGCTGCTCTTAGATCCTCTTGCTGACTTGAAGGCCTCGTGCTGCTCTTAAAGCCCCATTCGTACTGTGTGCGTGGTGGCATTTGCAACCCAATATGGTTGTTAAAATAAAACCTGGTTTGTGTTAGACCTAGTTCGTCTGTTGAACCCAGTTCGTCTCTTTAAACCCAGTTCATCTGTTGAACCGAGTTTATCTGTTTGAAACCAGTCCGTTTGTTAAACCCAGTTCGTCTGTCAAACCCCATTTGTTAAGAGACGACGACATGAAACATAAGCTGTGAAGCCCGCAGCGTTCAACTGGTCCTTAAGTTGTAGCAAGAACGAGTCTGCAGTGTGTAATTGGCTCTTGACTTGTCACAAAAACAAGGCTGCAGTGTTGAACTGGTCTCTACTCTATGTGGGTAGGTACTGAGGCGCTGTGACCAACAAAATCATGCTGCACTGTCAACAGAACAGGCATGCCTCACATGTCGCATTCTCTTCCTCAACTCCCCCTCACTTCCGGTCCCCCATCTTGCCTCTGTGTGCTCGTGCCATGCAGGATTCGAAGGGAGTCAAGAGCGTGGAGGTGAGTGGTGGCATGCCATTGCTCAAACATCACATCTGTATCATTTGCTTCAGATACCTTTGTCACCCTCTTATCACGCACTGTCATGTGCCCTCACTCACCCCCACCCTTATCACGCACTGTCATGTATGTCACACACACATTCATGTACCCTCCACCCCCTCGCCTGACCAGCACAGGTGTACTATCGCAACAGCAGAGCACGTCACACATGCATTCATGTCTGACCTCCATACCCTCCCCCCCCTCTCTCCTACGTTGGCAAATACGCGTATCACGTATAATACGCTAGCGTATTATACGCTGGGTATATACGCGGTACGCAATGGCTGGCGTACTGCTGATACTTTAAAATACGCTGGGCGGGCAGGTGAAACATTTTTCCCGGGCAGTAGAGCCGTGAACAGAGGCTGCACTGCTCGTCGAACTAGTAGGAGCTGCGCTCGACGCCATGGCGCGCGACTACGGAACGGCTAACTAAAGGGGAAGAATGCTAGACGAGACCTGCGGGAAGTAAATTGAAGAGCATTATGGAAGTCGTCGACCTAAAAATGCTCACGAAGTGATGAACATTTGAAAGGGGTGGTTGGGTTTGAGAGGTTGGGTGGGGTGGTGTGTGGTTGAGTGGGTGGGAAAGTTTGGATTTTGACATCCGAAGTTCAGACGCGGGTAGGGTGCTTGAGCGAGTTCGCGGTAACAATTTGCGAAGCCGCAAAGTCGTCGCGAAAATTTTCTATTTCGGATTTTTTTTTCCGCGGGCTACCCGGGCGTATTTCGCAAATTCAGAGCGTATTAGCGTACCACGTGTATACGCTAGCGTATATACGTGGTACGCCAGCCTTCCCAAAGCGTATCTGCCCAACGTAGCCTCTCTCCCCCCTTCTCCCCCCGTCCCCCCCCTCCTCCTCCCCTCGCCCAACCAGGACAGGTGTACTATCGCAACAGCAGAGCACGTCACACATGCATTCATGTCTGACCTCCATACCCTCCCCCCCCTCTCTCCCCCCTTCTCCCCCCGTACCCCCCCTCCTCCTCCCCTCGCCCGACCAGCACAGGTGTACTATCGCAACAGCAGAGGTGTCGAGATCTTCACACACACACATTCATCTCTACCCTCCATACCCTCCGTACCCTCCACACACATTCACCCCTGAACCCACCACTCCACTCCTCCTCCCCTCGCCTGACCAGCACAGGTGTACTATCGCAACAGCAGAGGCGTCGAGATCTTCACAAAGCGATGGCAGCCGTTGGATGGGGTGGTGAAAGGAATCGTGGTGTACTGCCATGGCTATGGCGACACATGCACATACCACTTTGATGGTACGCGATTCACATGCACGTACATGCACGTACATGCATACATGAATCACAACATACATGCATACATGAATCACAACGTACTTGCATGTACATGCACGTACCACTTTGATGGTATGTGGAGATGATGCATGCACCCACACAAGCATAGGTGGGTGGGATGGTCACGGTTCATGCATGCGTGCATTATATGAGGGGAATCGTGGTGTACTGCCATGGCTATGGTGTGGTGATACATGCATATACCACTTTGATGCATGGCTATGTACATGGAGGTGATGCATGCATGCATGCATGGCTCAAGTTGATTTGTTGAGGCGCCTCAAAATGCACTCTGATGGTACGTGGAGGTGATGCATGCATGCACGCATGGCTCACAGCTTACGTTCATGTGCATTCCCCTTTCTCCCTGCCCTGACCCTTCCCCCCTCCCTCGTGATGTGACTATACATCAGCCGTGGCAGTGAGCATAACACAGCAGCAGTATCTGGTGTACAGCAAGGACCATGAGGGACATGGGTGCTCACATAACCGTCTCCCCTGTTATCCCTGCCCCTTTCCCCCTCCAATTTCCCCCTCCCCGCTGTCTACCAGACGTGGCAGTGAGCATGGCACAGCAGCAATATCTGGTGTACACCAAGGATTATGAGGGTCATGGGTGCTCACATAACCGTCTCCCCTGTTATCCCTGCCCCTTTCCCCCTTCAATTTCCCCCTCCCCACTGTCTACCAGACGTGGCAGTGAGCATGGCACAGCAGCAGTATCTGGTGTACACCAAGGATTATGAGGGTCATGGGTGCTCCCTCCCTTCCGGGGGCTGCTTGCATAAATCCCCCCCCTCCACTTCCCCACTTCCCCCCTCCCCTTACCCTCTTCCCCCCACCCCTTATATCGTCCACCAGCCGTGGCAGTGAGCATGGTACAGCAGCAGTATCTGGTATACACCATGGACTATGAGGGACATGCGTGCTCACAGGGCCGGGTATTTTTGAGAATTCCCAAGAAGGAGAATACCGTGCAGCACCAAGGACTATGAGGGACATGGGTGCTCACAGGGCCTGCATGCATGCATACATCCCATCCCACCCTCCCTCTCCCCTCCTCCCTCCTCTCCCCTTCACCTCTCCCCCTTCTCCCCTGTCGTACATCAGCCGTGGCACAGCAGCAGTACCTGGTGTATGGCATGGATTATGAGGGCCATGGGTGCTCCCTCTCAGGAGCTTCACATCACACATACATCTCCCCTTCCTCGCTTCTCTTCTGCCTTCCCTGTTGTCCACCAGACATGGCAGTGAGCATGGCACAGCAGCAGTACCTGGTGCATGGCATGGACTACGAGTGCTTGCAGCGCCTGCACTCATGCATGATACATCCCACCACCCCTCCCCCTTTTCTCCCTACCTTCTCCTGAAAACCCCACCAGCCGTGGCAGTGAGCATGGCACAGCAGCAGTACCTGGTGTATGGCATGGACTACGAGGGCCATGGGTGCTCCCAGGGCCTGCATGCATACATCCCCCGCTTCGACACCATCATAGACGATGTGGTTGAGTTCACCGACGCGCTAAGAGGTGGGTGCAAATGGGTGGAGGTGGGTGCAGTGCAGTTGGGTAGGTGCTCACAGGGTCTGCATGCATACATCCCCCGCTTCGACACCATCATAGATGATGTGGTTGAGTTCACCGACGCGCTAAGAGGTGGGTGAAGATGGGTGCAGTGCAGTTGGACGGGTGCTCGCAGGGCCTGCATGCATACATCCCCCGCTTTGATACCATCATAGATGATGTGGTTGAATTCACTGACGCTCTAAGAGGTGGGTGCGAATTGGTGGAGGCGGGTGCAGTGCAGTTGGGATTGCATGCATACATCCCCCGCTTTGATACCAATGTGGTTAAATTCACCGACTCGTTCAGAGGTGGGTGCTATTGTGGCGCCTCTAGCAGAAGTTGCTCCCAGGTCCTGACTGGTGATTGAGTCTCTCAAAAGTGGACAACAAGGGCCATGGGTGTTCGCAGGGCCTGCATGCGTACATCCCTCTCTTCGATACCTTGATCGACGACGTGGTTGTATTCACAGATGCGTTAAGAGGTGGGTGCAGATGGGTGCAGATGGGTGCGACCACATGCAGGTGGGTAAGTGCTCCCAGGGCCTGCATGCATACATCCCTCGCTTCGATGCCATCATTGATTGACGACGTGGTTGAGTTCACTTACTCATTACGAGGTGGGTGCAGACGGGTGCAGATGGGTGCAGATGGGTGCAGGTAGGTGCAGTGCAGGTGGGTGAAGCAGTGCAAGTACATGCAGGCGGGTGGGTGCTGCCACGGTGTGCTTGCATACATCCCTCGCTACCATCATCAAGGATATGGTTGGATTGGATTCACCGACGCGTTAAGAGATGGGTGCAGGTGAGTGCAACAGTGTGCTCATAGGTTGGGGTCTTGAAAAAATCCACTCAAGTTGTTTCTTAGGTACCGTACCTTCCCTCTCCTCCCTCCCGGTTTTCCTGTACGGCAAGTCAATGGGCGGCGCCGTGCCGTGGCCCTTTAAACCACACACTGTCTCACACACCTCTCCTTTCACCTCCCTGCCTCTCTGTGTGCATTCCATTCCCCACACACTCCCTCGCAGCCTCGCCTGCCCTCTCATCCCTCCCCGTCTTCCTGTACGGCGAGTCAATGGGCGGCGCAGTGGCCATCAAGACGCACTGGCGCCGCCCAGACGCCTTTCGAGGAGCCGTCCTACTGTCACCCATGTGCAAGGTAACCATGTGGTAACCACGTGGTAACCATGGGATAATTGTATGGTAACCACATGGGAAGCATGTGTGGCCATGAAGTAACCATGTGGTACCCATGGAATGGTGATGATTATGATGATGGGATTTGCCATACGCAAGTTGATGTTGCTGCTTCAACAGTGTTTGGTAACCACGCAACGGTTGCCGCCTACGGTTGCCGCCCACGGTTGCCGCCCACGGTTGCCGCCCATGGTGATCTTTCCCATTATTCAGTACGATTGTCAAAGGCTCTCTAGCGATCAGCCTTTGAGTGCAAGCACCCTTTTACTGTCAATCGTACACCCTGTGTTGGCCTTCAGTACAAATGATCATCTTCTCTTGTGTCCACCCTTCGATACAAGCACCCCCCATGCACTGCTACTCTCCCACCACCCAGCTCCTCCCCCAAAGTTCTCACCACATACCACCACTCCCCTACCCTCTCCTCACTTGGATCGCTTTTGAGTCGACTTAAAAGCACCACATACCACCACTCCCCTACCCAGGCTGCCCTCTCCTCACTTGGATCGCCAGATAGCACGAGCAGATCCTGTTTCCGATTGTTCAAATCAAAGGTGTTAGCTTTTAGCAGCGTCATTCCCAAGGTCATGCTGGTTAATAATCATTTTGCGATAATCACCAGACCACACCCGCCCACCCTCCACTCCCCCCTTCCCCCCGCCTTTCAATGTTGACCAGATAGCGGAGGAGTTGATTCCTCCCCCAATGGTGGTATCAGCGTTCTTGGCTCTCAACGGCGTCATTCCCAAGGTCAAGATGGTGAATGATCACTCCCAAATACTCACCACATACCACACCCACCCGCCACTCCCCACCCCCCACTGGTCACCAGATAGCAGAGGAGTTGATGCCTCCCCCAATGGTGGTATCAGCATTCCTGGCTCTCAACAGCGTCATTCCCAAGGTCAAGATGGTTCCAGGAAAGGACATCAGCGACATTGGCATGAGAGACCTTGCCAACCGGAAGCGGGTGAGTTAGGAGGAAGAGAAAGGGGGTAGGTGTATGCACGGTGTTGGCTCTGAGCAGCGTCATTCCCAAGGTCAAGATGGTTCCAGGGAAGGACATTAGCGACATTGGCATGAGAGACCTTGCCAACCGGAAGCGGGTGAGTTAGGAGGAAGAGAAAGGGGGTAGGTGTATGCACGGTGTTGGCTCTGAGCAACGTCATTCCCAAGGCCAAGATGGTTCCAGGGAAGGACATCAGCGACATCGGGATGAGAGACCTTGCCAACCGCACAAGAGTTCAAATGGTGAGTCTTAATTTTGAACGGTGCTGGCTCACTTCAATGGTAATCCCGAGGTCAAGATGGTGCAGCAGGGCAAGGATACCAGCGACACTGGCATGAGAGACCTTGTTGACCAAGAGGAGCGTGGTCGCGCACCAAAGAGGAGCTTCATATGGTGAGCTTGAATTGAAGCTATCGACATCCCAAGGTGAAGTATGCACCGTTGGCTATCTCCTCTTCAGCTCCCCTCCTCCTCTCTCCTCCTCTCCCCTCGCTCCCCCTACCTCCACCAGGCGAAGGATAACCCAATGTCCATCAGGGGCCCTGCTCCAGTGGGCACAGCAGTTTCACTGCTCCTCTGCTCCTGCTATTCACCTAACCCCCACCCAACCTCTTCCCTTGCTCCTCGCCTTCTCTTGCTGCGTCACCCACCAGGCGAAGGATAACCCAATGTCCATCAGGGGCCCTGCTCGAGTGGGCACAGCAGTTTCACTGCTGCGGACCACACAGGAGATCGGCCCACGGATGAAGGAGGTGAGGGTGAATGTGATGATGGAGGAGGTAAGGTGTGAGGATGGAGGGGGTTTGGTGTGAGGATGACTCTCCAGCTCCTGGAATCACAAGCGGATTAGAGTCGCAAGTGTTCATTTGGTGGCTAATCATTGGATGGTGTATTCCAATCGACTGAATGGGATCATTGAAGCTTTCAGACGCTTGGTCGCAGGCTGTTGCCATATTGGCGTGCTTCACTGCTGCATGCAGCAATGGCACGGCAGCAAAGCAACGGCACCACAGCAGGCTCAGCATTCCTTCCCCCAGCACGCTCATGCCAAATCTTTCACCCATATCCGTCGTCCATACCACCCACCCCCTCGCTCTCTCCCCTCCCTGCAGCTCTCCCTCCCGTGCTTCATACTGCACGGCAGTGCTGACGTGGTAACCGACCCAGCTCTCTCCAAGGAGCTGCACGCAGCGGCCAGCAGCACCGACAAGACTCTCAAGATCTACGAGGGCTCCTGGCACGGACTCACTTCTGGGGAGCCTGACGATGTGATCGAAAAGGTGATAGCGGATATTGTTGCGTGGATTGCTGCGCGCAGCAGCGCTGCTACGGTGGATTTGAATGCGGTGAATGAGAAGCTACTGGAGCCGCCTTTTAAGGGGGATACTGTAAAGGAGGTGGAAGTGTAGCGTTGTCATGGGCTTAGCTCTCAGGAGCCCGGCAATGTGATTCAGAAGGTTATGGGTATTGAGTTTTGCGTTGCTACAGTTAGCAATGCTGCTATGGATGCAAAAAGCACATTGGGTGTTGTAAGTTATGCGAGCTTTATGAGTGAACTGAAGAGAGGAGGCTGCATTGTTGGGTTCTAAATGGGATCTACTGGGAATAAAAAAGTGTATCAGCTACGCAAGGGTAGCTGCATTGTCTCAACTTCCCTTCGAAAATGGTGATGTTGATATGAGAAAGTGAGATGGATATAGATGTTAAGAATGAAGTTATCCTTGCAGCGATTACTAAGTCTTGTTGCGGGAAATGCTTTCGAGAGCATTCCCGCGTAGTGACGTGGCCCATCTTGGTGTGACCATCTTCAAGTTTCCCTTCCACGTGGATCACATGAAGGTGACTGCCAGCACAGCAGAACAGCAATTTCGATAACTGTCAGCGAGTCAAGTCTCTTGCTTCGCTGGACATCGTTTCTGCAAGCCAGCGCACCAAATGCGGCTGCCACGCGCGACGCGCCAAGCAGTTGCCGCATCTCCTAGTGGTGGAAATTGGAGGTGAAGGTCTCCAGCGATCGCAGATGATGTGTTACGTTTCGCTGCAGACAATCACGATCATCGTTTGGCTTGCATGCGACGAGAAGTGGACGCTGAAGGTACTCGCAATCGACACGGCGAAATTTCGTAATTTCTTTTTCGAGCCTTCGTGGGCACGACGACGTCACCGCGAGGTTTGATTTCAGCTGCGCGGCGCGGCATGTCACGAATTCTGATTTCTGTACTTGTTTCCTCTGTTCACTCTTCCTACCTCCTCCATTCTCGTTTCATCGTCGTGGATTTCTCGACCAATTTGTTCAATACCATACACACTGCAAATCCACTGTTATGGTGCGACGAACTTTTGAAGTTGAGCGGGAAGCGGGCAACTATCAATGGAAAGACGCTTCGAAAAGATGGAAAAAGGGAGGCGACGTTATTGCTCCAGACTATTCCGACTCGCGTGAAATATCCTTTCCGCAGAAAGCCCATAAGTCCATTCCTAGAGTTACTACTCGTGGCCCTACCGCGCCGACGAAATCTGTCGGTGCGCCTCCGTACCACACGCAGCATGCGCAATTTCTCGAGAATTCTGCAGAAGCTTTTGCCATAATCGACCGGAGCGAGCAGCAAAAGTGCACGTATCGTTCAGAAACGAGTAGGGAGCGAGAAAGCGCCCAGCTACATGAACGGGAAGGCGAAATTAATACTTGCCGTGAAAGCGAAATTCTTGAGTGCACCAACCGCGATTCCGTTGGACCGAAGAGGAACGGTGTGAAAAGACCGGCGGAAATCGTGGTGCTGGTGCGTGAAACTTCAGCGAACAATCCCCTTGCTCAAGCTGCCGAAAGCCCTGACGGTTCTGCAGACGACGAACTCGCTCGTCGCGCTGAAGGTCTGCTGAGAGGCAGTGCGGACATTGATGTCGCGTCGGCAGCCGCACGCGCGCCGTCGGTGAGCATCTGTGGTCCGCTTGTTTCTCTGGGGGGTTACACGGACGATGTTTTGAATGCGGATGGTAGCGACAGAAGTTGTCGCAGTGCGACGGGTGACGGTGCTCGCGAGGCAGATGGCGATGGGAGAGCAAGTCGCAGACCGGGGGGAGATGATTGTGACTCCGCGGAGCGGGGGGGGGTGCAAGGCGGAACGGCAGACGGCGGGGGAGCAGCGGAAGGTGAAGCAGCGGAGGGAAGAGCAAGTGGAGCAGCGGAGGGGGAGCTGGCAGCGGCGGATGTCGGGGAAGCGCAAGGCGCAGAAGAGGGCGGGAGGTCTTGGTGGGGAAGGGTGACCGGGGGAAGACTGGGGAAGCGACGGGTTTCCACGGAAGTGTCGCCGCCACGTGGCAGCAGCTCACTGGAGGCTGTTTTCAACGGAGTCAACGTGCTGACGGGTGAGACACGAGGGGGGAAGGTCCGACCGGCGAGCGCACTTCCCAAGTGGCGGCGAGTGTGTGTGTGTGTGTGTGTGTGTGTGTGTGTGTGTGTGTGTGTGTGTGTGTGTGTGTGTGTGTGTGTGTGTGTGTGTGTGTGTGTGTGTGTGTGTGTGTGTGTGTGTGTGTGTGTGTGTGTGTGTGTGTGTGTGTGTGTGTGTGTGTGTGTGTGTGTGTGTGTGTGTGTGTGTGTGTGTGTGTGTGTGTGTGTGTGTGTGTGTGTGTGCGCGAGGGCATGCGTGGTATTGCTTAGCCCTGACGGCATGCCAAGCCCGAGGGCATGCGTGAGAGCGAAACCGTCACCCTTCCTTCCTCATCCATTCTTCTCTCTCTTCACTTGCCCTTCCCATTCTCCTCCCCTTGCACCAGGCATCGGAATTCTCACCACGCCCTACGCGCTCGCCCAAGCGGGCTGGTTAGGCTTGCTCGTTCTGTCCGCCACGTCCCTCCTCTACCTCCTCACCGCCCGCCTCCTCCGTGCCTGCATGGACCACACACCATCCACCGATCCCCACTCCCCTGATACAAGTATCCACACCTCGACTGGAAGCAGCCACGCCTCCACCACCGCACCCTACACCTCCGCAACTTCTCCCCACACCTCCGCCACTGCACTCCACGCCTCCACGATCACCACCTTCCCCGACATAGGCGCGGCAGCGTTCGGCCGCACAGGGCGCATACTTACATCTCTGGTGCTCTACGGGGAGCTCTTCGCCGTGTCCGTCGAGCTGCTCATCCTCGAAGGCGACTCCCTCGCCTTCCTCTTCCCCTCCTTCGCCCCGCACGGCCTCAGTCTTGGCCCCTCCCTCCGCCTGTCCGCCAACCAGGTGTGTTTTGAGGCGCCTCGAGCATAGACTCAACAGGCATGCTGACGTCTCCGGTGCTCTACGGGGAGCTCCTCTAGGGGAAGAGGAAGGCTAGAGAGTCCCCTTCGAGGAAGGCTAGAGAGTCCCCTTCGAGGAAGGCTAGAGAGTCCCCTTCGAGGAAGGCTAGAGTGTCAGTGGAGCTTCTCGTCCTCGAAGGGGACTCTCTAGCCTTCCTCTTCCCCTCGTTTCCTTCGCATGGCATTTCCCTGGGATCCTCGCTCCGCCTCTCCTTTTGAGTCGACTCAAAAGCTTCCCTTGGATCCTCGCTCCGCCTCTCCGCCTACCAGGTGAGTGTTCTGACGCGCCTTACAAGTTGTTCGGCCACGCTGGCCGCATGCTCACGTACGCCGCGCTATTCGCTTTTGAGAATTCTAAAACATGCTCACGTGCCTTGTGCTGTACGCTGCGCGATTCGTCGCCCCAGTCGAGCTGCTCAAGGTGGCCTTTGAGTCAACTCAAAAGGCGTGCTCACATCTCTCCTCCTCTCTACAGGGAGCTCTTCGCCGCCCCAATCGAGCTGCCCATTCTCCAAGGCGAATTTATGAAGGGATTCCCCTCCTTCGCTAGGCGAGGAAATCGCCTTCCTCTTCCCCTCCTTCTCCCGTGAAGTTAGGGTGTTTTTGAGACGTCTCAAAAACACCCTCACTTCACGTGGCTATTCTCCAAGGCGAATCAATGAAGGGATTCCCAGCTAGGCGAGGAAATCGCCTTCCTCTTCCCCTCCTTCTCCCCGAATGGCCTCCCCCTCGGCCGGCCCCACGCTCTGCCTCTCCGCCAGGTGTTTCTGATCGTCCCGTTTTAAGACGCCTCAATAAACGACCTCCCCCTTGGCCGCGTGGGTTTCTGATTTTCGCGTTTTGCGGTTCCTCAAACTCGCCTTGCTCTTCCCCTCCTTCGCCCCGCACCGCCTCCCCCTGAGCCCCTCCCTCCGCCTGTCGCCCAACCAGGTGTTTCTGATCATCGCAGCACTGATTATGCTGCCCACAGTGTGGCTCAGAGAGATGTCTCTGCTCGCGTATGTGTCCGTGTCTGGGCTGCTTGCTGCGCTGGTCACAGTGGTGGTGAGAGTGGCTTGTGGCTTGTTAAGTGTCTACTGAAAACCCCCTGGGCCTCTCGATCCGCCTGTCGCCCAACCAGGTGTTTCTGATCATCGCAGCACTGATTATGCTGCCCACAGTGTGGCTCAGAGAGATGTCTCTGCTCGCGTATGTGTCCGTGTCTGGGCTGCTTGCTGCGCTGGTCACAGTGGTGGTGAGAGTGGCTTGTGGCTTGTTAAGTGTCTACTGAAAACCCCCTGGGCCTCTCGATCCGCCTGTCGCCCAACCAGGTGTTTCTGATCATCGCTGCGCTGATCGTGCTGCCAACAGTGTGGTTACGAAAGATGTCTTTGCTCGCGTATGTGTCCGTGGGAGGGCTGCTCGCAGCGCTGGTCACGGTGGTGGGAGTGGCGTGGGTGGCGGCGATGGGGGCGGACGATGCAGGCTCTGCTGCTGCTTCTGCTTCTTCAACCGCAGCAGCAGCAGCAGCGGCAGCAGTGCAAGGGGAATCGGCGTTGCTGCGGGTGCAGGGAATACCAGTGGCGATGGGGATATTTGGGTTCTGCTTCTCAGGGCATGCAGTCTTCCCCACCATCTACCGCTCCATGGACAAGCCACAGCACTACAACCGGGTGAGTGGGCGAGTGAGTGAGGCAGAGAGTAAAGAGTGGTGCATTGAGTCGGGGCATGCTGTGTTCCCCACCATCTACCGCTCTATGGACAAGCCACAGCACCGGGTGAGTGAGTGAGTTTGTATCGAGACTGGTGCGGCACTTGTTCGTATTACAGGTTCTGTAACCCCCTGTTTTGGGTTCTTCTTCTCAGGGCATGCTGTCTTCCCCACCATCTACCGCTCCATGGACAAGCCCCAGCACTTCAACTGGGTAAGGGGTTGATGCCGCACTTCGTACGCGGTACAAGTGTTGTAACCCCTTGTGTTGATGTCTGCTTCTCGGGACATGCTGTCTTCCCCACCATCTACCGCTCCATGGACAAGCCCCAGCACTTCAACTGGGTAAGGGGTTGATGCCGCACTTCGTACGCGGTACAAGTGTTGTAACCCCTTGTGTTGATGTCTGCTTCTCGGGACATGCTGTCTTCCCCACCATCTACCGCTCCATGGACAAGCCACAGCACTATAACTGGGTGAGTGGGCGAGTGAGGGAGTCAGAGAGTAAAGAGTAGTGCATTGAGTCGGGGCATGCTGTGTTCCCCACCATCTACCGCTCCATGGACAAGCCCCAGCACTATAACCGGGTGAGTGGGCGAGTGTGTATCGATACTGGTGCGGCACTTGTGCGTATTACAGGTTCTGTAACCCCCTGTTTTGGGTTCTGCTTGTCGGGCCATGCTGTGTTCCCCACCATCTACCGCTCCATGGACAAGCCACAGCACTTCAACTGGGTAAGGGGTTGATGCCGCACTTCGTACGCGGTACAAGTGTTGTAACCCCTTGTGTTGATGTCTGTTTCTTGGGACATGCTGTCTTCCCCACCGTCTACCACTCCATGGACAAGCTCCAGCACCTCAACCGGGTGAGTGGGTAGAGGATGTGAATCTGCTATGGCACTTGCATGTTCAACTCCTTTCCTGTAACGCGAGCATAGTTGCTCTATTTTTTAGGCGCCTCAAAAGCCCAGCCGCTCTATGCTACCCTCGTTTCCTCCTCCTCCCCTCCCCTCGCCTCCCCCCGCCAGGTGCTCCTCATCTGGTTCACTGTCTGCACATGCATATACGGCGGCATTGCCATTCTCGGCTATTCCATGTACGGACAAGCCACTGCCGCCCAGATTACCCTCAACCTGCCGCCCGCCCTCACACCATCCCGCATAGTCCTATGGACCACCATCATCTCTCCCCTCACCAAATTCGCCATCACCATCACCCCCGTCGCGCTCGCCCTCGAATCCTCCGTCTCCTCCCTCCTCTCCAACCTCTCCCCTCCCAGCCTCGCCTCCTGTACCCCTTACTGCATGCCCCGCTTCAAGCACAGAGGCTGCAGCTGCAACTGCAAGCACACTGCGCTCTGTCTCTCCTGGCTCTCATCTCTCCCGGGCTTTAACTGGGTGAGGGTCAGCAGCAAGACAGTTGTTTCCCTAACTGTGAGGACTCTACTGGTGGTGCTGGTGGCAGCGGCGGGGTTACTGCTTCCATTCTTCGCCCTGGTCATGACTCTCACAGGCTCTCTCCTCAGCATCTCCATCTCTTTGCTCCTCCCCACGGCCTGCCACCTCAGCATTAAGTGGCGCCAGCTGTCGCGTGCGTCGGTTGCGTGCCACGTGGCGATTCTCCTGGGAGGGACAGCGGCGGCTGTAACGGGGACGGTTTATGCTGTCAGGGGGATAGCTGCTGGTGGTGGTGGGTCGCATTAGCTGCTGATTTCGGTCTTGTGCTAATGCGACCCACCAGCTGCTAAGCTGATTAGCAGTCAGGGGGGGTTGCACTTGAGATGATTCAGGGGGATTGCTGCTGCTGCTGATGACTCGCATTGTAGGGGAAGCTGCAGCTGTGTTGTACTTCCAATTGCCAGCTGCAGCTGTGGCGGGAATGGTTTATGCCGTCAGGTTGATTGCTCCTGTTGGCGGTGGATTGCGCATTGAAGGGGAAACTACAGCAGCTGATTTCAGAAAACCAGTTGAGGCTGAGATGGGGAGCCGACCCACAAGATTCAGCTGCTGCTGGTGGACTCGCTGGTGGTCGTGGCGTTGGGGGTGGGTGAGGTCAAGGCCAGTTTTGAGAATTCTCATGAGTGGTGAGCTGAAGGGCAGTCTGTGCTGTGCTGACTGCCCTTGATCGGCGTATTTTTGTGTGTTGTGAGCAAAACAAGCAGATGCTGATGAAGAAAATCAGCTGTTGATGTTGCTGTGAGGGGGAATTGCGGCCCTTCTGGCAGATGGCAGAAAGTGCAGCCGTGAATGCGTCTTGGGGAAAACATCACCTAAACCCCAAAACATCACCTCTGGTTGGGTTTCGCTGGTGGAAGCATTGTTAGTTTTGGATGTTGCTTGCAGTCAACCTTAGCTTGTTGACCAGATTTTGGTGTCCATTATTGTGCGCACATTTAGTTTGTACAGCAACCATGAAAGCTTTCTTAAACACCTGTCAGTGCCATCTGTTCAATGAAGGTTGAAAAAACACCAACTGTCAACCAACATAACACATATCCTCAGCTCTCTGATGGTTGTTAGAAGGTGAAGTGCAGTCAAAAGCAGCGCAATTACTCATACACAAAAAGGCATTACACTATCGCCAGTTGACGGTCAGTGGCATGTGCTCCGAGGTGAACAGACAGTCACTGAGCGTCAACTGGGGATAAATTACTCCTAACAGAAGAACCTGTTCCTAGCCCTAAGATAGCCATAAAGCGCAATGCACTGTAGTCGCACTCGATCTGAAGTCTACTTGGGCACGGTCGTGCCAGCGGGGATGAGAATCTTATCCACGCCATGCGCGATGAAGTATGGCCCAGCGTACAGCCGCGCGATTTGGATGGTCGTCCACGCGGCAGCAGGCGCGTTCGGCCCCTTGGCGAATGACACGGAGTTACCATTCTGTGGAGAAACCTTGTAGATCGCTTGCTTCAGTTGAGTCGCCAGCGGCTGCGACTTTTTAAGGGAGTTCAGCTGAGGAACGGTTTGCTTCCGCGGGAGGATGTGGTATGCGGTGATGTTGTAGATGATGGGGATGTTGCTGCTTGTAACGGGGAGCTTCTTAGCGAGGGCTTGGGCTTCTGTGTCGCTGGGGAGGAGGATTGTGGCGTCCGCGAGGGCTGAGAAGTCGTATTTGGAGTTGAGCGCGAGGCCGATGTAACGGTTGATATCCTTGGCGTATTTCGCGTATTGCGGGTAACGCTTCGTGATGTTCGTCGCCATGTTGTTCAGCTCCGCCTTGAGCTGCGCCTTGGTGGGCTTCGGCGGCGTTGCTTGAGCCCTCGCGCCAGCCACGCAGAGGGCGACGCAGATGACCCCGAGCACGGCGAGCACGCGAGAGGTGGCCATTATGCTGTTAATAATATTTTTTCCTGAGGAAAAAACGGGTTTATGCGAAGTGGAGAGTGCAATGGAAATCAGGTGCAAGTCTGGTGATGTGAAGTGCGAATTTTCTGCTGAGAAATTGAGGTTGAGTGAGAGAGACTGGTGAAAATCAATTTTCTGAAGAGGAATTTGTAGAGGCAAGGTTGGGTGGAATGGTACAGGGTTACTTGGTGTGGTGATTCGCGATGCCACAGTTGCGGTGTTGCAAGTCCTCGGCCCTCAGCAATGGCGAGCGCGGTGCGACGAAACGCGCTCGCGATTTCGGCGCCACTGTGACAGGATGATTTCGGCGGCGGGAGACCACCGCGAGGCCTAGGGTAACAGCGCGAGTGGTGTGATACAAGCCAACAAAACAGTGATGGGTTGATGGTGGTGGCGATGTGACGAAGGTGTCAGGATGTCGGGAAGGTGAGACCATGGTCGCCTCGCTTATGGTAAGTCTCACGATGTCGCGAAGGTCTCACCCTCTGGGCTTGATTTCGCACTGGCAATGATCGGCGGTGTCGCGAGTGAATGTCGGTCAGCGAAAGCAGATGGGTGTCTGCGATAGAGCATCTGATCGTGCTACAAAAGATATGTTACACAGTTTAGCGGTTGATGTAGAATGCTTCGCCTGTAATTGTTTTTGTACAGAACTCTTGACAAATAACTTTGGATAAGCCTAAAAACGGGATGAAGTGTGCCTCTTGTTTTGCTGCAAAATGCAGTGGGTATCTTGCAGGCGTTTCTTCTCAATCTCGCGCCAGTCGAGGTCCGTACCCTGTAATGGCGATCTAGCTTTCGTTTGCGTGAGCGCAACGATCATTTACCAGATGGATTTTATTTCAACTCTGTGTGATAACATCTAGCAAAGGGAAATCTCCATCTGGTGGTGGATGTCGAGTGCACGGCTTGAAGTCTTGAATCTAAGATGGACTGCAGCAGACAAAAAAATCCAAGTATGTATAAGCATTACATCCCTGTAACCATCCGTGCAGAACCTAACTTAATTATACTGTACAGAGCACGAGCCTCCACTTGCAGAAAGCGAGCACACCAGTTACCGTGAGAGCAGACGCACACCACGGGTGCAGATCAGCCGGCCGCAGCACTTCTGTGCTGGCAAATACCGCTAGATAGGCAGCACAGCACAGAGAAGAGGAGCCACTCCACTTGCACGACTTGCACCACTTGCACCACTTGCACCACTTGCACCACTTGCACCACTTGCACCACTTGCACGACTTGCAAGACTTGCACGACTTGCACGACTTGCACGACTTGCACCACTTGCACCACTTGCACCACTTGCACCACTTGCACCACTTGCACGACTTAAGCGCCACAGAGCCAAATCTCTTGGCGAGCAACGATTGCTCACAGCATAAGACAGGCTGTTCAGTCGACTCAGTAACCCCACTGCACTGTGGGAGAGGCAGGCAGTAACCAGATACTTACATCTGCTACTGCTGCTGCTGCTTCAACACAGGGGCAAGTGGTAGCCAGAGACCTCGCTCACAGCATGAGATGGCTGTTCATTCAGCTCGAAAACCTCACTGCACTGAGGGAAGGGCAGGTGGTATCCAGAGCTCCACCCATGTCCCGCTGTAACCACAGGGGGCATTGATGAGGTGTGGCGATTGCACGCGCATCATTGCCCCCACCGCGTCTGCCACTCCCCAGTGCTGCTGCACCTACTGTGTCTGCTACTGGTGCTGGTGCTACTAGTGCTGCATCGACACAGGTGCAGGCGGTAACCAGATCTCTGCTGCTGCTGCTGCTCATACAGCTGCTACTGCTGCATCGACACAGGGGCAGGTGGTAACCAGATCTCCACCCTTGTCCCGCCGTACCCACTTGGAGCATTGATGAGATGAGGCGACTGCACACGCATCACTGCCCCCACCGCCTCTGCCACACCCCTCACCACCTCCATTGCTGCTAAGGCGTCAGCAGCCCGTGCCAGCTTGCCAGGTGGCAGGTTTTGAGTGGAGGAGGCCGGACTGGCAGACTGGAGGGGGGTGGTTGGGGGGGAAGGATGCGGAGAAACCAGTAAGGTGGGGCTTTGATGAGCCTCAAACGAGGTGGATACTATTTGGTATACTCGCCAGTGCACATGCTTCCAAACAGTCCCACCGCCTGATCTCTGATTCCTAAACCCCAAACCTCAGATTTCAAAACCCCCAAAATCCTGCACTCACCAGGTAGTGCACGCCCACACCACTTTCTTCCACCAGCAGCAGCACCCCTCCCCCCGGCGCTCTCTGCCAGTGCACGTGCACCCACCCGCCCTCAGATTGCAACCTAGACCCCAACCCCCATACCCAAACCCCTCAACTCACCAGGTAGTGCACGCCCACGCCACTGTCTTCCACCAACAGCAGCACTCCTCCCCCTGGCGCCCTCTGCCAGTGCACGTGCACCCACCCCCCGCCCTCTGTGGCATGCAGTGCAGCATCCAAAACCCCCTGCAACAGCCGCCTTATGTCACTCTCATGCCCCAACACCTCCCACGACTCCTCCTCCTCCTCTCCCCCCGCATGCCCCCGCCCCTGCTGCTCCCTCTCCTCCCCCACGCCACTGCTTCTTTCAAATCCTTCTGCTGCTGCAACCAACAAACGCCCGCGTTCTAGTCCTTCACCTCCTGCAGAGGAACCTACTTCAGACCTGCTAGTCGCCACATATTTCTCCAACATAGCCTCATAAACCGCATCATCATCCATTCCACTGTCGTAGTCTTCTTTCTCTACCCCTACACCTGCATCACTCCCACCGCTCCATCTCAACCGTCCATCTTCATCAACGGCCCCACTCAAACCACCCTGTCCATCACCATTTCCTCTCATCCCCTCATCCAAGCTTCTCGTTCCGGTGGTCCCCAATTCCTCCTCTCCGTTCTCCTCATTCCCAGCCCAGTTCTCCCTCCGACTAGGCACCCGGCCCAAAGCAGCAGTTGCAGGAAGGGAATTGGCAGGCACGATAGCAGGTTCGGCAGGCGCACCTACAGCAGGTCCCGTGTCTGGCCTTGGATTGGAGGAGCCATAGCTGACGGTGAAGTGGATTTCGCAGGCAGTGGCGAGGGAAGCAGCGGCGTCCAGCAGAGGCAGCAGCACCCGGTGCACACTGCACGTTGGGTGGAAGCTGGGATGGCGGAGAAATGACAAGAGAAAAGAAATGAAGAACGAGAAGAGACAGCGAACCGGATTTCGCAGGCAGCGGCGAGGGAGGCAGGTGCGTCTGGCAGTGGCAGCACCACGCAGTGCATGCTGCGAGTTGGGTGGATGCGACTGCATCGATTTTTGAGGCGCCTCAAAACTGCGTGAACTGAGACGATATTTTAGGCGCCTCAAAAGACAATT